ACTGGTCTTGTTAGCATCAAGATGGCCAACAATCAGTTAACCAAGCTTCCCAGCTCCTTCGGCAACTTCCAAAACCTGCGAAGCCTGAACATGTCGTCAAATGGTTTCAAGGTCTTCCCCGATTTCCTTTGCAATCTCAAGAGTCTGGTTGATCTCGATATCAGCTTCAATGGCATAGAAGAACTTCCCAATATCGGCCGCTTGGCCACTCTCGAGCGCCTTTGGATGACGAACAACAACTTGAGCGGCCCTCTTGATGATTCCTTCGGGGAATTAGTGAATCTCAAGGAGTTTGATGGACGCTTCAATGCTATCACCAATATCGATGCTCTCTCTAGTCTTCCACGCCTAGAGCAGATATTCTTCGGTCACAATCTTCTATCACGTTTCAAAGGCTCCTTCCCGAGGTTGCGGAGTTTACACCTGGACCACTGCCCTATGACGCAATTTGATGTTGACGCTCCTATGCCAACATTGACTTCTTTGAACCTTGCCTCCGGCAAGCTCTCCCAATTCAGGGATACCATCTTCGAGAATTGCCCGAATATAGCGAAGCTCGTCCTTGACAAAAATCATATCTCCTCGGTTTCAGCTCAGGTTGGCAAGTTGCGTCGACTGGAACACTTCAGTATGATCAAGAACCCACTGTCGTCTTTGCCCTCAACTCTGGGTTGCCTTGCGGAGCTCAAGCACCTCAATCTGAGGGAGTGTAATTTGAACTCTCTGCCAGCTGAAATTTGGCACTGTGCTAAGCTGGAAATACTCAACGTATCCTCAAACATTTTGTCGAGCTTTCCAAAGTGCGGTGCTCCATACCCTCAAATTCCTGGTGAGCCTACAAACACACCTGGGACTACACCAGGCATCGCTGGAAACCCCAGCTATGAAGATATAGGCCCACTGGATGAACCAAGTCTACGTCGACCGAGTCAAACGTCGAATGGTCTTATGAGTTCTGTACCACCAAACGGGTACCGGCATCCTTCAAATGCTCAATCTAGTAGGAAGGTATCGGCGGCGTCGCCACCATATACCGACCCGAACTCGGTGACTAGGAAGGACTCGAACTTCTCTCAGCAGATGGCAATGACATTTGCGGCGTCCCTTCGCACACTTTCACTTGCCGACAACAGGCTTGAAGATGATGTTTTCCGGGAACTATCCTTGCTCCCAGAGCTGCGCATTGTCAACCTTTCCTACAATGACCTTACGGAATTGCCGCAAGGTATTCTCAAAAGGTGGCCATTGATCTCCGAGCTGTACCTGTCCGGTAACGAGTTGACCTCTCTCCCATCCGATGACCTGGAAGAGGGAAGCAACCTCAAAGTTCTTCACATCAATGCCAACCGGTTCCAAGTCTTGCCTGCGGAGCTTTGCAAGGTCAGCAAGCTTTCCATTCTGGACGTGGGGAGCAACGGGCTGAAGTACAATGTGTCAAACTGGCCTTATGACTGGAACTGGAACTGGAACCGTAATCTCAAATATCTGAATTTCTCGGGCAACAAACGTCTGGAAATCAAGCCGAATATCGCGTCGCTGGGTCCTCCGGCCGCCAATGGCGCTGACCTGACTGATTTCAATTCCCTAACCCATCTCCGTGTTTTGGGACTGATGGATGTCACACTCACCATTCCCACCATCCCAGAGGAAACTGAAGATCGCCGTGTGAGAACATCCGCCTCCTTGGCTGGTACTCTCGCCTACGGTATGGCCGACTCTCTTGGTAAGACCGAGCATCTATCTATCATTGATATGATTGTTCCGCGGTTGAAGCAAGACAATGTGGAAACACTTGTGGGAATGTTTGACGGACAGACATTTTCCAGTGGTGGTTCTCGCGTCGCAAAGTACTTGCATGAGAATTTCACTTCTACCTTCTCGTTTGAGCTTAAGAAGCTTCAGCGAGAGCAGGGTGAAACACCATTAGATGCACTCCGACGGTCGTTCTTGGCATTGAATAAGAACATGGCAGGCTCTGCCTACAGGTCCATTGATGACCGCGAGGTCCGGCAGTACCATCGAGGATCGACTGCGGCCAAAATGCTCAACCAGGACGACATACAGTCCGGGGGTGTTGCTACTGTCCTGTATCTGAACAATATGGACTTGTACGCCGCGAATGTCGGTGATGCCCAGGCTATTTTGATCCGGTCAGATGGCTCAATGCTTTCTTTGACGCAAAATCATGATCCCGCGGAACCCAACGAGCGCGCACGCATTCGTGAAGCAGGAGGTTTCGTGTCTCGCACAGGGAAGCTGAATGATGTCCTCACCGTGTCGAGGTGCTTCGGGCACTTCCCTATGATGCCTGCTGTCATTGCGGCCCCTTCCACATTGCATACCATCTTGACGGAGCAAGATGAGATGATCGTGTTGGCATCAAAGGAGCTCTGGGATTATGTTACTCCCGAGGTGGTGGTGGACATTACAAGGAGAGAACAGCCAGACTTGATGTTTGCAGCTCAAAAGTTGCGTGATTTGGCCATCTCCTTCGGTGCCACCAACAAGCTGATGGTGATGATTCTCGGTGTCGGGGAAATTCAAAGGAGACGCCCAAAGCCCCGTCCTTCTCTCAACACTGGCTCGTCCACATTTGCTGAGGAGCAGATCATCCCCACTGCCAAGCGTCCCAAGAAGCGCGATGGTCCTGGAGATTCGCGACTCGCGCGTTTCGAACACGTGAATGCTCCCGAGGGTGAATTGACTATCATGTTCACTGATATCAAGAAATCCACGGGCCTATGGGAGATTTGTCCGGATGCTATGCGCTCTGCTATTCAAATCCACAATGACATCCTGCGCCGGCAACTTGCAATCTTCGGTGGCTACGAGGTCAAGACAGAAGGTGATGCTTTCATGGTGGCTTTCTCAACCACGACGGCTGCCTTGCTGTGGTGTTTCAACTGTCAAAATCAGCTCCTTGAAGCTGAATGGCCTACAGAGATTCTTGATCAACCCCAGTGCCGGGTTGTGGTGGATATGGACAATAATGTTATCTTCCGTGGCTTGTCTGTCCGCATGGGTGGCCATTGGGGCGAGCCTGTCTGCGCAAAAGATCCGGTCACCAGTCGAATGGACTATTTCGGTCCAATGGTGAATCGTGCGTCACGAATTTCTGCCGTCGCGGATGGAGGTCAGATTTTCGTTTCGTCAGATTTCATGACCGACATCCACCGCAGCCTAGAGATTTTCGCAGATACTGAGCGTTCTGCATCCACCAGCTCGACCGACAGCAACTCCCGCGGCGATAGCCTCGGCCACAACATCCGTCGCGAACTGCAACAGCTCAATAGCCAAGGTTTCGTTATCAAAGATCAAGGCGAAAGAAAGCTGAAGGGTCTGGAAAATCCGGAACCCCTCTACCTTGTTTACCCCTCCGCGCTTTCTGGTCGCATGACCTCTTCGGAAGAATCCCAGGATCGCGACAGCTCCGTTGCAACCATCAGCCCAGACAATCAACTTGACATCCAGACAAACGTCATTTGGCGTCTCTGGGAAGTCACACTCCGTCTTGAGCGACTTTGCGGTGCTTTGGAGCATCCAAGTGAACCAAGCCTCAGAGAGCCGAACGTCGCTCTCTTCAACATGGTCAAGAGGCACGGCGGTGAGCTCAACGACTCGACCGTTCTCAGTTTGGTCGATCAACAAGTCACCCGTATCGAGGTTAGTATTACACAAATTCCCCTTTAGTTCTACTTTGAATCCTAACAAATTCCAGGTATGCATCAACACACTCTCCCTGCGCCACATGATGCGTCCCTTCAAGCCAGGCGACAACCTCAGTGACCACGCTGTACCCATCACCGAGGTACTACAGCAACTACAAACACAACTCGCCGAATTCCAAGCTCTCAAGGAGCAGATGGCCGTTGGTGCTGCGGGCAACATCGGCGGACCACCAACTCATGACAAAATGGGCCCTTCAGGCAATAGCGACAGCGGTATTACCTCCGCTTCGTCTTCTTTCCTCCATCTCCCTGGCGATGCCAATCGCTCTTTTGATTCCGGCCGCGGCTAGTACTGATTTCTGCCGTCTGCTTTATCGCACTAATTTAAATCTTACTTTTGGATTCCGTTTACTTGCTTATTTTACTCTTTTTCCTTCTTGTATCTCTCTGGCTTTTTTTTAGTGGGCGGCGTTCCACTGGCGGGAGGGGGTCTGCAGATTGTTTTATATAAAGCATTATGGCATGGAGCCACGGTGGTTGTTTCGGTATCTTTTTTCTATTATTGTCTCTGATCTTTGAATCTTAGGGCTGTAAGTAGCTCGGACAGTGAATATATATTACAGTCTATATGATACTACCTTCATGGGCTTCTTTCTTGTCATCTAGATCCTTCGCTCCTTTGAATCCAAGTACATACTTCAACCTAAGTCAAGTCCTCTGTACGAGTTATGTATTTTACCGCCTTCATATAAAAGGAACCCCCAAAAAGCATGTCGGTATGTTCTTACATATAATATATCAGGTTATTAAAGTATTCTTGTTTCTTTGATATCACAGCTACTGGCCTGAGGCCGCAACGTCACATTTCACAGGTCACGTGCTACTGTTTATGCGTGCGTCATCGACCTTGTTTTCTTTCTGCTTGGTCTGCTCACCCCTTCATCTGGTGAACCGAATCCAAGAACAAAAGGGAGAGACATCTGTTTCTTGAGCTTTATTACCAACATTTACATAGTTCAAGTCGTTAGTCCCAACGTCGGCTGTTTTTCCCGCCCCGCTTGTTGCCCTGGCTACGAACTGAACGAATGATCGAACTGGGTCTGGCGTAATTAACAGCTCGACAAAAAAACAACGTTCTCCTACCCCAGTTAAAAATTCGAAAAAGGGAACGATCAGTGGCATCTCACTTGCATATTGCAATATCATCTAGCCACGCACCGTGCTGCAAGTTCGGTGTCCATCTTGAGAAAAATCCCCCTTGACTACGACATCTCGGTCGGGGTCTTCGCACATTAAGCAGACCGCAGCGTCGCACATTACACGTCACACAAAATGGCGGACGAACTGGAATACCTCCATCCAGATTTCGATCTGAACTCTCTCACCGTCCCTCGTCTCCGCTCCATCCTCGTCAGCCACGATATCCCGTACCCTGCCTCAGCAAAAAAGGCTCAACTGATCGGCATCCTTGAGGATGAAGTCCTTCCGCAAGCTAGAAAGCTCTTACGCGACCGCGATACGGTTCGACGAACTAGTATGGGAATTACAGACATGAGCAGTCGGTCGACATCAGTGGCTAGCGACGCGAACGACAGAGAGTCGATGCCTCCTCCTCCCACACCCTCAACAGTCGGATCCACAAGAAGAGGCGAGCGAGGTACATCGCGACGCAGCACTCGTCACTCAACGGTAGACACCGATGATGGTCTCGGCCCTGCCACACCTGTCAGGAACACAAAGCGCACGAGCGTTGCTCGCTCAGTGGGTAAACACGCCCGCACGTCTGACACGGAAACCGGCGACGACACATTCGCTACTCCAATCGCTGCTACTCGTCCTACGCCTCGCAAATCTACAGCCAGAAAAGTAGGACGGAGTGAGGTCCTCCCGTCGACAGAAGTGGATGAATACACTCCTACTGGGTTCAAGTTAGAATCACGCTATGAGAGCACGTTTACGGATGACAATCCTTTCCAGAGTGGAAGCCCTGAGGCTCCTAAAAGCGCAAGGATGAGCTATGATGCCAAGCGGAAGAGTGTTTCGCGCTTATCTACCGACAGCCCAGCTCGGGGCCGCGGACTTAGGTCACGGAAATCAGCAACCCCATCTAGCATTCAGCAAGATGGTGGTTTCCAGCCACCCAGGCGGGATTCGTTTGACTTCGCCTCTCGGTTAATACCTCCGCAGGAGGAGCCCGAGGGGGAGTCGGAAGAATCCGAGGATGATGAAGAAAGCGAAATTGGCGCGGGTGAAGAATTCACGCCCGAGGAACAGCTCGCTATGTCTATGGAGAATGATCAGTACTCGCGACAAACTCAGCCTAGGCGACGACCCCAAAAGCAAGGAACCCTCAGCCGCTTGGCCCCTTGGGTGGTCATCCTTTCACTGGCCGGCAGTTTTGGTACCTGGTGGCGCAAAGAAAAGCTCGAAATTGGATATTGCGGCCTGGGAAAGCCCACCTGGTCTTTGGCAGAGACCAAGGTTCCCGAATGGGCGAATGTTCTGGAGCCTCGGTGCGAACCGTGCCCAAGCCATGCCTTCTGCTACCCGGACTTTGAGGTGCGCTGCGAGAATGATTTCCTTTTGAAGCCGCACCCTCTTGCCCTCGGGGGGCTGGTGCCGTTGCCGCCAACATGTGAACCCGATAGTGAGAAGGAGCGCCGCGTGAAGGCCGTTGCGGATAAAGCTGTTGAAGAGCTTCGTGAGCGCCGGGCAAAGTGGGAATGCGGCCAGCTGAAGGAAGACGGCAAGGGCGCCAGATCTCCAGACATCAGCGAGCCAGAATTGAAGGAAGAGGTGGCTAAGAAACGCCGCAAGGGCCTGAGTGACACCGAATTTGACGAGCTGTGGAAGGGTGCCATTGGTGAGATCCTTGGCAAAGATGAGGTTATCAGCAAGACCAAGCAGTAAGTTTCCTTCACCCTAGGAGGGATTCCCGTGTCTCCTTGGCTACGCTCATCGCTCTGGACTCCCACATCCAGCGGCATTTCTTAATAAAGATCTGGTCTGACCTTGTGTACCGGAACTGACAGAAACGCGTTCGCAATCACAGAAATTCCGACATCCTCATTCTCTCATCTACCTCCATCGCACGACTCCCACTCGCATGCGCCGTCCGCCGTCACTTCCGACTCGCTCTCCTCGCGTATCGACTCCCTATTTCACTTCTAATCGCGGCCATTGGTCTCCTTGTTTACGCCCGTGCGCGTGTCCTTGCACGTCGGTCTGACATTGCTCGCGTGCCTGAATTAGTAGCTACAACCCTTGATCGACTATCCACACAGGCCGCACTCTACGCCCGCGGCGATGCCAAAGAACCGCATATTGCTATCGGTCAGCTCCGCGATGACGTCCTCCGTTTTGAACTCCAAGGAAAGCGTCGCGAGGAGCTCTGGCGACGGGTCCGCAACTTTGTCGAGGGCAACGCTAACGTCCGCGCTTCTGTGCGAGAAGGACGTAGCGGTGATGTATCTCGAGTCTGGGAGTGGATCGGTGGGATCAACGCTGTCGGCGAGCCGGAACATAATGGCCGCCGCGAGAGCGCACGATTCTCTATCCCTTCTCCGTCCGGCAACATAGTGGCAAGCCCTCACACCCCTGCGGGTGAAAGCCAACCCGAGCCTATCTCTAGTCCAAGAGAATCTCGCCGCTGGGACGAGGGCCGTCCGATCTACTGATTCTCGTCCTGCTGTTTTGGGGATGCCTTTGGTATCTTATGCACGCAGCTCGGCTGTGACTGTATCCTTTTTGATATCCCACCCGTTTCTTTCCTGATGTATGAGATATGGTTCTTGTTTTCCGGGGTTTCTTGTCTTTTTTTTAAACACTTTATTCCCTGTTTCCTTCGCCTACTTCATCAGTACATATTAATTCTTGTCCATACAAATTTCATTTCCCATTCCAACCAAAACTTCATTTTTCTCAGACACGATCGTACTTTGTGCATGATGCATACAAACTAGTCCATCTGCAATCGTTCTCACGGATTTCGTCAGTGCTTGGTGCCAAGCCTAACCGCATTGCACAGCACATATGTTGTATGCAACACACCCCATTGGGTATATGTTGCATGTGTCTGTGGGACTACTATCACACCGATGGAACCCGCGGGGTTCTTCTGCGGGTGAATACGCATGATTCAGGGGAATGCACATATTCATTGATCCTAATGCGTATAGTACTCCGTGCCAGAAAGGTAGTAAGTATCGTGTATCAGCTCGAATGATCCAGGCAATATCAGCCCAACCATAAAGATCAAGACCCACAGTATCTTCCCACGATGTGGACAAAAGCGGGCATTGGTAAGCTACTTCTACAACATACAATGTGACCAATGCGAAGAGTCTAGAAGCACTCTATACAGATAAGCGTATAGTTGGAATGAATTAACTTACTTTTAGCATTCTTTCCACTTAGCCAAGCACTCTATACCCTGTATGCAGGTGAATATGCAGCTCGGTAAAAAGGCATATCGCTTTCGCTCCCGCTGTTGCCCGTCTCTATCCTTGGTGCCCAACGTGCGGAGTATATGTTCCGTATCGAGAGCTGATCAATCAATATCCCTGTTGGTTTCGAATCGCTAGTGCCCGTGTGCTTTTGTTGGCATTAACGGTCTAGATGCTGATTGGACCGAGCGGAATACCAGTTCGTGTGGGGTTTGTGTTGAGGTTCGTTGCTTTCATTTTTGGGTCTTGGGTCTCATAAAGAAGTCTTTATAATGGTAGGATGTACATAGTGTCACCAAGGCAGGGTTGTTTGATATGAGCGTCCAATGAAACGGGGAATATGAGAAGTGATGGTCGAAGCTACTGTAGGCCGCGCGAGTCACGTATATCAAAGGTATCGTAATTTGAAATAACATCACAAAACCATCTGGTGAACAACAAAGAAGGTGAGATATTAGTTGCTTCGCGCATTAGTGTCTGCCGTCACAGTGGTTCGAATGACGTATCTACAGATGCGCGATACTCACTTCGAATATCGCCGAGGTATGTTGTAGGTATTGCAGCAAAGACCAATCACGAAGAGAGGTGCTAAGTGATACTTGAGGACTGAGTGCATGAAACATAGTAGCACTGGGATCCCGTGGTAAAGGGGGGATCCCCGATCCTGTTCAGCCAGTCAGCCAACCAACCAAATCCCATATTTGCTCGGTGAAAGGTTCCCTGGGAAGATGGGGGGCAGCTTTTGTGTGCTTGGTGTGCATACGGAGTACAATTGTGCCTGACACGCAAGTAAGCTACATCGGGAAGGTAATATAGCCCTAAATAAGAGGACTTGTGTGGCGAATCCCGGGTTTGACCGCTTCTTGAGAGTAATCAAAGAGAGGCATCCTATCAAGGAAGGCTAGGGGCAATGGAGTGGGTACGAACACTATCCGTAGTGCACCGTATGGTCTTTGGTTTTCTTTTTTTTTTCACCCTTTTTTTCACGAGATTGCGTTTTCATCTCCGGCCCCGCTCTTCTTAGTGCCGAGATACAGCAAGTTAGGGCAACAGGTAGCGATCTGGTAGATAGTGTGGATGACTGCTTGCTCTAGGGCAACTTTGGGAAGCTTGCTTCCTTCTATGGCCGTAGGTAGTCCTACGGAGTAAGCAGGATTATACCTGAATGGTTGGTAGCTGTGCTGGGTAGGGGCCACGTAGCGTTGTGGCGCCGAAGATCGGTGAACGGGCGTAGAACTTTGCGTGGTAGAATCACGGGGGGTCAGGATAGTGGAGATACTTGTACTCCGTAAATTGAGGAGCATGTGTGGTATGTCCTCCGTACCGAGTATTGATATGGGGTAACATTGCAAAGACTGCAGATATGTATTTAGCATACTCCGCTTCGACCTGCTTATATCGAGTAAGCCCCCGAGTCTAATATATGGATGAGATTGGATGGGATTGGATTGGATGGAAAGTACGGTTCTTCACCTCTCTGCAGACGCAGTTGAGCCATGGTTGAATTGGCTAATAAAAGCAATAGTTGTGAATACCTTCTTGAGAGCCTTCAAGGTTTTCTCAGCAAGAAGAAAATCGCGTATGGCCATGTCCAAGTATGCGGTAACGGACTTTTGTTTTTCTTTACCTTCTTTTTCTATTAAAAAAAGAGATCGGAAAAGTTAGAGGTAAAGGTCATGTTGTGCATAGTGAAACCGATACGGCCAAGTCTGTAATAAGCCTCGGGGTGAGGAACCAGATGAGGGAGGACATTGAGCCATGGAAATCTTCGCCGGCACCAGTCAGAGTGCTGGATTATGGCCCACCTGTCAAACTTATACCCAAAAGCCTGTCATAGTGTTTTGGTTTCCAAGGTTGGTCCTGGTCCGTATTAGTGCCTTGTCCCACTTGGTCTTAGTATATCCACAAGTGGTGCCAGTCGAAATCGTATAGCTATACGGAGTACTCTGTATGTATAACATACTCCATAGTCAGCATGCCGAAGGAAATTCAATGTACACATGTTGTAGTCATCAGCCCAGATAAGACCGAAAGTGAATATACTTTATACTGAGTATGTTGTACACGGGATAGAGTTGAGCCATGCGAATGGGGCAATCAAGGGGCACATGTCAAGAATCCGTTAATGACCGCGAACAAACCGTGGTAGAGCTAGCCCCGAGAGCAGCCCAGAGCTTAGACAGTGGTTAGAGCCCCGTTATGAGTGCAATATTGTTAGCTCGATGGGTGCTATTCGATACTTGGGGATGGATGAAGTTTCCAGCCAATATTGAGTTACTTTGTACTGAGGGCGGTCAGAGAGATGTTCACTTCTCGTTAATCGACGGTCTTGGCGAATTAAGTTCCACAGTGTAATAAGGAGGTCAGAAGGGTCAGAAATCATAGTGTGACTTGTAAATTGAGAGTACAACATAAAATGATCACTTTAGCGACTTGGTTCACTGGTGTGGCAAAACAGGCACAGTGGAGATTTGACAACGTTTCGCCTGGTTTCACACATTGCCTACTGCACAATCTACAACATACAACATAGACAAAATGTTAAGTGGGGTTTCTAGTCGAGGGGTAATGTTCCAAGAAAGGTATGGAGTACTCCATACTCCATACTCCGTGCAGAAACAGGATATCTGGGCATGTGTGGATACGCACTATAACGTGTACAACATAGAGGAAAGTAGACTCATCACTCAAGGCTTTGCGCATGAAGTTCCGAAGCCCCGAAATAGAGTTAGATCAGAGAAAGGGGGAAAAGAATTTGTATTAGACTTTAGATCATCTTGATCGCCAAATTCGACCGAAAATGACAGGGATCGACTCGAGGGCATGTGTTGTACTCCGTACCTATACTAACTAGCACAGCAAGGGAACCTAGGAAAAAGAAAAGAGAAGGAAAAAACCGAATTTTAGATTAAGCAATGATGTTCAGTGTACTCTGTATGTTGTAAGTGGTAAAAATCATCGGTGGTAGTGTGATGATTCCATGGCAATCTTGGTATTAGGGGTTGAGCCTATCAATTACACCGGAAAATAATTCCGGAGGTCGATAAATTAGGGTTATGGATAGGTTAAACGGAGATGTCAACCGGGTGTATAAGCCTATGAATGATAATAATACGAACGTAAAGAATATTGTATATATATGCGGAGTACGGAGTACACGGATATATACACATATACTAAATCGTACAATATAGAACTATAAATGGGGATTTTAATTATTTGTACGGAGTACTTTCTTCTCCGTACCTCGTACTTAAATAGCTATTAACTCCGTGTAATTGCAATATTACTTCCATTCGGCCATTAGCAGATAGAGGAGATTTGCAATGCTGATTTTGATACGGAGTACGGAGTAGTAATATGTGTAAGAAAATAAAAAATAAAAAATAAAATTATATACAACATAGATACAAAATTACAATTTCTGATTTAGATTTGAGATCTGAGATCAACCAGTATTATTTCCTGGAGCCTCAGTAATCCTCTGCTTATTTTCTGGATATGCCTAAGAGGCCCACATCTGTCATTTCTCCTCAATTTTCCCTGTTTTTTTTTTATATTTTTTCCTGCTTTTTTTTCATTTCTTTACCTGTCATTTACCTGTCATTTTCATATTTTTGGGTTTTGGGGTTTTGGGGTTTTTTTGGTTATTCCCCCCCTATTGTCTTTCTTTCCCCCCCCCCACTTTACCCTCATATCCTAATCTCTAGGCAGCGCACAGTGCAGAATTGTCACTGCATACAACATAGGTCTAGCGTGGCCCGGCCCCTCCTCTCGTTCCCCATTCTATAACTCTCTTTCTCTACGCTCTTTCAGTCTGCCACGTGATTTGCTTGATTATCATGCTTTCAAATGGTGGCTGGGAAGACAGAGAGTTGTGCCTTTGATCTGCTATTTATCACTTTGTTTTTCAGACTTCATGACTGAACAGACACCCCGAGGCTATAGGCCTCTTGCGCCTCGTACCAGGTTGCTTGGAGGGGCAGATGGGGGAGATGGACCAGGGAATCCTGCTGGCGGGGGTGTAACAGAAGAAAGACGCATGAAGCGAGTATCGACGGCTTGTACGGAGTGTCAGAAACGCCGAACTAGGGTACACATTCACTACCCTTCCTTTTTTTTCCCCTTAGCATCTCTCCCATTCCACCTAATCTGTACTATCAATCTGACATGCTCTTTTTCTTATTGTCGTTAGTGTTCCGGCCCTCTTGTATGCTCCGAATGCTTAACCCACGGCCGCGAATGTATCTTCGATGAGTCCTCCGATAAACGCCGAAAGGCCTCCAGCAAGAGAGCCCTGGATGAATTGGACTATTACAGGTCGTTTGTGGAGGATTTCTTCGGTATCTTCCGGGCTAGTCCCGAGGAGACGGTGCAATACCTCGTCAATACCATACGAGCGGGAGCAGCCATGGAGCAGATCCGAGAAATCATCACCAGTATCATGCAGGATGAGAATCGATCCATTTCCCAAAATTCAGACGTGGGCGACTCAAATCTGAATCTGAACGACACTCCAAACAATAAAAAGGACAGTTTCTTCAACCCTCGCTGAATTGGCCCAATCTCCTCGGGCAATAGGGTAATACACACATCTCTGTATGAATATGTGCCAGCATTACCCCGGCCAACCCAAATCCTCCCCCGCCAAATCCCTCGATCTCAAGTTCTCGAACGACTAAACGAACATGGTTGTCTCATAGCGTTTCCTTCATAGCTGTTATTCGTGTCGCGTTTCTTTTCGATATGGAGCAGGTCATTCAGAGAACTGTCACATTATCCATCATAGCTGTGTGGCCAGCTCCATCTTCATGTTTATTGCCATATCTCGAGACAGATTGAGATCTCGCAAAGAAACCAGACTGTTCCTATTCTCTTACCTGACCCCTAGCATTATATTTCCTTTTTCTTTGTTGCAAATGTTCTTTGCTATCCCAGAACCAGGGGCTTTAAAATCTTGCGACATTGCGGAGAGTCCCATTGTACCTTGACAAAAGTGAATATACCCAGAGATACCCAGTTCTAGCTTGTCACATTCAGACATTGTTTCTCGGGTTGGAGTTACACGCCGGGGTGTTCGTGGTTCGGAGCAAGTGGGATCTGTTTTTCTTTTTATATTAAAATGTGCATCAACCTAGTAGTTATTTTTCCAACAGCAACCATCCTGCAATAAATATCCTTCCTAGCCTCAGACTTTGGTCCACATTTCTTCTTTGGTGGAGATATGCTCCTTCGGTCTATGATGTGCACCAGTTGTCCTTTGCAGATTGGGGCTGCTCTCTGTCAGTGTCAATCACTCGCATTCCAGCATGATATTTGATTCCCGATAACACGCTCAGATGGTTACATAGGCAGCCAATCACACAATCACATTTTTGGGCATCCATCCATCTATGGATGTTCTTCTCCTGCCCCTATCAATCTATATGAACACGATGATATTGTCAGTTGTGCTTTCCCAACCAGCACATAGTCTATGAGCTCACGGTAAAAGTGCTTACCGAGGGCCCATATATAAGTTTCTCTCCACTTGTAGCTATAGAGAGCAAATGAGCGATTTCGTTGGATGCCTATAACAGCATCGGTGAACAGTGTAATAACTATAACTTGTGTAGTTTAACCTATATCTGTACTCCAAATATACTATGTGTACCTATGTATGTAGGTAAGAATCCGGGGAGGTGGAGGCATCCCCGCGCCGACCGGAGACTTGCCGAGATCCTGTGCTTTTCTATTTTCCCCCTCTTCCCCGGATACTTCTCCTTTCTAGCTACCTCTAGGTCATCTCCTTGCGATATTACTCGGGAACTATTTCCCTGGCTCGGCTTGTTTTGCCGATCTCGATATGATAACCACTAATATTGCCATGCAATCTCGGCCCGCAATCAAACCAAATGAAACTTCAGGGTTGCCCGCCTCTCACAAGAGGAAAGCATCCGACACATTAAAAGACGGTGTTGCACACCGCCAGAAAATTACCAGAGCCTGTGACTCGTGCAAAGTAAAAAAAACTCGATGTACTGGTACTTTACCATGCACAAGATGTACACGACTGTCACTGCCTTGCAGATACAACGCCGCATACTCTCGGGGCCTACCACCAGATCCTCTTCCTGCATCACCGAGTCCCCTTTTGACTCCAAATGGGTATCGTGCATCTGAGGATTTGGAAGGGCACACATCCAGCCCCAATCTACAGGACAATGGTCGGGATTCGACTGTGACGGACAATCTACTTTCAATCCCAAACAAAAGCCGAAACCAGCACCAGCAAGCGGTATCATCACGGAACTCTCCAGAGCCAGGTTCAACGGATTTTGAAGGTAATTACCTTGGCCCTTCATCCGGTGTGTCGTTTATCAACCGTGTATGGAGCCGTCTACATCAAGACGAAACGACACACTATCCAGATGAACTCCAAAATGAGTCCTCGCGGAATACAGCGGTGTTTATGTTTGGAGATAAGCCTTACTCCAACCCCTCAGAGGCGGAGTTTACCCTCCCGTCTCTGGAAAAGGCACTGGAGCTGGTGGGAATTTACTTCGATTACTCTATGGTCACTTATCGGTTTGTGCATAGGGGCAATGTGGAAGATTGGACTAGACAGGTTTACCAAAATAACATTGGCCTCTCGAATCTCCCTGTGGGAAATATGGTTGCTCGGACTGCTATCGTTCTCATGATCATTGCTGTGAGTACTTTATATATGGAAATGAAGCCCGGGGGAATGCCCGGTGGGCGGGGTGAAAGGCTAGAAAGGTCGGTAATATCTTCATATGGTCAGGAAAGCAGCCTAACGGAGCGATTACAGTGAGCGCTGGTATGCAGCGTCAAAATACATGTCTTCTCTTGAGTCAGGGCCGCCGCGACTGGAAACCATCCAGGCCCGGCTGGGCCAATGCCTATATCTGCTGTCATCGTCACGGGCCAATGAATGCTGGTACTCATTCGGCACGACAATGCAGATTGTGACTGCACTCGGATTACACAGGAAGGGTCCAGCCAAAGTCTCGAATAATGGGTGCTCGCATCTTGAATCGGAGCTCCGCAGGCGCATCTTCTGGAGTGTATACACCCTAGATAAATATTTAAGCATTATGTTCGGAAGACCTCGGCTGCTCCACGACGAGGACATCGACCAAGAACTACCAGAAGAGACGAACGACGAAGATTTACTGGAAGAAGATCCAACACGAAGAACAGGCTCCACTGATAGCATGATGATTGCCTCTGTTCTTCATTACCGGTGAGTCCCTCTGGGTACCCTATACTTATTATGCCCATTTAGTGTGCCTGGGCACCTAACACTGAACCCAGACTCGGTCGTATTCTGGGCGATATATCTCGTCAACTATACAGCATAAACACCCTCTCTCGAGACTCCCCCCTCGAAACCGCGATCCGCCTAACCTCAGAACTCGAAAAATGGAAAGAAACCGTCCCACCCTTATTCAATAGTGTTCACCCAACCAGTCTAATACCACCCCTCTGCCGCCAAAGCCAAGTCCTCCAACTCGCCTACTCACACGCCATGATCCATGTTACTCGCTCATTCCTCTTAAACGATTTCACAGACCTCAGCCGCAGACCGAAAGTCCCACACCCAATGGTCAGCTCGCACGTCCAGAAATGCATTCAGGCTGCCGAGGACATCATGACAATAACTGATGGTCTTGCGCATCAAGGTGTGCTGATCCAGTCCTTCTGGTTCACGCACTATGTGTGCTTCTGTGCTGTTTTGGTCATTTACATCCATACCATTCAACAGCACCGTAAGTCATTGAGCGGACCTAGAGCCTCTGTCTCTTCGGTCGGAAGTCCTCATGACTCAGATAAATTGCGCCAGCTCTTTTATCTCGCTGAATCTTGTCAGCAACATCTGGCTGAAGCCACGCGCAAGAACTGTCCGAGTCGTCGTTACGGGATTATTCTGGAGGAGTTGAGACAGGAGGTTCATCGGCAGATTGGATCCAATGGGGTCTCTGTTGAAACCCGGACTCATTCTGCTAGTGGAAATGATACTATCTATGTCTCTGGAGAGGGTTCACAGAATGTGGATGTAAAATCGGTTCTCTTTGACGCCCAGGCAGCTGATTTCATGATGCCACCAGCCGAATTGGGGATGAATACGGGAGACGATGCAGGCTTCCTTGAGAGTCTTGAAGGATCGATATGGTGGGCTCAGCTTGACTCATGGGTATGTATTAGGCTTTCCCTGATAATGACGAGTACGGAATGTTGCTCGCTTATACACACCTTGTGTTAACACTTTGTTCTAGGCTTTGTCCAATCTCCCTAATGACCCATCTACATTTAACTTTTAAGCACAGAATGCATGTAGCTTACGAGTCACAAGGCCAAAATCGCGTTAAGGTGCAAATATCCTGCTGCAGTTTGTGTCACATTCTGGTCATTCTTCCTTCAACACGCTATCTCGTTATAAATCCTGATTTAGTGGCGATCAAAACTGCATGAGACTACTGCGGTGAGTGTTTTCCAAGTACTCATCGAACCTTGCAGACACCTCAATCACATCCTTGAGGTGATCATAAGTCAGAACCTCCCTTTTCCACTTCGCATACTGGCGAGCAGTGGTGACAGCATTCCGAATTTGCCGACCATTCAACTTCTCCCTCTGAAGTACATGCAAGTTCCCCATAATATCTTCAACATCAATAGCATCCTCATCGAACCCATCCAGTCGCTTGATAAACGTTTGCCAGATAGATCGTCTCTGTTCCTCGCCGAGGGGGGGATAGTGTAGTGCCAGCTGGATACGCGATTTGAACGCCTCGTCGAAGGTGCCTACTCGATTGGTGGTCAAGATCAGGATTCCCTCGAAATACTCCACGACGCGCAGGAATGCCGATACAAGTGCGTTCCGGTTCATATCTTCCAGACTGCGCTGCTCAAGGAAAACATCTGCTTCATCGAGCAGGACCACGCAGTTCCAGATCTTGCCCAGATGTAGCACAGACTCGAGGTACTTCTCCACCTCCTCTGGCTTGATGCCGATGTCACCGCATGTGACTCGATAGAGAGGCCTCTCGGCTATTTCAGCCACACTCTCTGCGGTCAGTGTTTTGCCCGTTCCCGGCCCACCGTGCAGAAGCAAGACAAGCCCGTTTCCTTTGCCGGCGATCAAATCGGCAGAGTATTCGAGCTCGATGTGATTGGTCACTAGTGCCTCGATAAGATCTCTGGATTTGGAGTCGATGGCTAGACTCTCGAAGGCGTCTTTGTTCCACTCGATAGGCGAGATGCGGTCGACTGAGAGATCGAACCATTTCTTGCGCCGGAGGTTGAAGCCCGTCACCCTCGGAGGCATCAACATGCTGAACGGCTCTTGCGGGGGTTGCTCTCTGGCCATGACTCGGTCATTGAGTGTCTTTCTGCGTGGGCCGTCATCAAAGTACCTGGTTGGGTTTGGATGTAGTCTGTTGTATGTCTTCATGTCTATGATGTATCGGTCGTCGGCCTAGTAGCAATGGTTCCAAGGTTAGCTCGGCTTATCGTTACAGGCTGATGATAAACACATACCACGGTCTGGAAATTCTCTTCTTCGGTTGCCTCATAGGACACATACTTATGTGTGCGGAATGTCCAGAAAATCTCACCACGACGCTGAAGTTTCCGGACGAGATAATCAGGGGCATACTTGATTGGGAATACCCCAAGGTCCGTGATAGCACATTCTTTGTCTGCGTTACTGTCGGGTAGAGGAAGGCTAGAGCCATGCGACAAATAGTCCACTTCAAGCGACTTTGGCATTTCGAAACTGAGGTTAGTCCGAGATTCATAAAACTCGCCATCGAAGTCCCAGGTCTGGACACTGATCCGCCAATAAGTGCTGCCATCGAGGTCTATTATCGGATATGGCCAGTCCTTGACTACATAACCAATATGCTCTTTGCTTTTGTTCGACACCAGGACTTCATTGGGCTTGAACAGATATTGAATGTACTCCGGGCGAATTTTGCCTTTCTCCAAAAGCCGGTTTGCTGCAGCATACTCAGTGCCGCAAGCCTCTTGGACATAGTCCATGAAGAGATCAAATTGTCTTTGCGCCTCAGAGCTCAGCCCTTGTTTGATTTCAAACTCAACATCACCCTGGTGATGGTAGACGAAGAGATAAGGTGACTGGACCTCCCCCTTGTCTCGGTAGTTTCTGGACATAGATTGAAACTCTTCACCCCTGAGGAATTCTGCAATCACGTCTTTGAGATCTTCGGAAACTGGAAAGATGGTCTCGCTGAATGGTTCTGGCTTGCCATACTTTGTGTTCGGTGACTGCGGCTCGGCCCTTCTTTTGTAGTTCCGGAAAACTACAAAAGATATGTCTCTGTTGAGAGCGAGGTACAGCTCGAAGTTAGTCAGCGGATCATTGCAGCGCAGATATGGCGCACCCATGTTTCGATGGATGAGCTCGGGCGGATCGGAATAAATCCCCATCCATGGAGACCTAGGCGGAGACCTGTGTGACCTTCGCCTAGGCCTGTGGCTGAATTCATCGTCATTATCATCCATGCTATGATTGTCACTCGGATAGGTGTCGTCTTTCTCAATCCGATAAAGGATCTGATACTTTGAGGCTGTGGGTAGAGCAGGCTTTCCTTCCAGCTCCCGGACCTTGTTTTGAAGCGCTGTGACTTGGGCCTTGAGGTCATTTGCCTCTGATAGAGAGATACTTCCTTGACTGGGAGGAGTGTGCATATTTGAGCGAACAGTGTTTGCATTCTGCGGATCCATATCGTATGAGTCCACAGACGGTGGACTCAAATTCCGTTGCCTTGCCGAAGTATAAAGGGCATTGGGATGATACGTTGGGGCTTGGGGATATTGATATGGAACAGGACCCGGCGGGAAAGGGCCTGGCGTTTGCATGTTTTGGTTGTTGACTACCGACGGCCCGAAAGAAGGGATGGGAGTATGATACTCGACTGGTCTTTGGTATGCGCTACTCTGGGACGCAGCCAACTGGCTTCTGACGTTCTGTTGTTCTAACAGCATCAGTTGGAATGGGTAATCCTGATTGTTGTGGTGTTCTTGCTGTGTGCTAGGATTTGGAATATAAGATGTACCATCAAGAGGTTGGGGAGCTCTCCCTCCGAGCAAAGCAGGAACCGGTTGCTCTTGTGAAGCGTTTTTACCGCTCAGATCTTCGGAGATGGTGTTGGTCATGTACAGTTCGTCACGAGGACGAGCTGGGTTTGAATGAGGATACATGCCCACAGATGACAAAGATGCTTCTCAAGAATCAAACAGACCGTTCTACTATCCAGAGAGAATGGGAAATAGACAATAAATAGGCAAAAACGGGGAATACGAGGAGATTCTGATTCCAACCACCCCCGCGTTTTGAGCCTCTGGATTGTCATGTGTTGTGGCTGTGTGCATGTTCATGTTAGGATGGTTATATTTTCATGCATAGATACCTATCTCATGAATGTTGGTGCCTCCCAGGTCTCCATGTCTACCTACATATATGCAGCACTATGTACTGGGACCATCCTTGTATACCTCTTGCAAGCACTGCGATAGTCGGATGACTCCCAAATTGCTATCATATAACCTCAAATCTTGACATCGTCGGCTCGCATGTATTCAACTTGATTGTGGCCAGGAATAGGAGGCAACACACTGTGTGTACATATTTTGACTAGCAAGCAGATTATCGTGCAAGATATCGGCTTAACGGTGAAGACGAGGCATTCCAAGGTTATTCTAGCGACTTTGATAGACTAATTTCACCTGGGTCATATCTACTGTCAGAAGTACTAATGGATCGTAGGGGATATCATGGACTTGGACACTCTTAGCTAGTCGGTTTAATTTACTTACCTTTTTTTTAGCAAACTCTTGTTCGAGGTTAACCACACAGTAAATTGTTATTTAATAATATCTAGACCTTTTTGAGCATTCTCTCGCGTAGTGATAGCTGCAGACTTATGTGGTTATTGAGATATAAATGTTGATTTACTATATGTTTTGGTGATCTATTCGCTTACCGATTATGTTAGGGGCATTGATCACGTCAAAACAATTACAAGATCCCATATTATAGTGTGCATCAGGGCATTTTCCAAGCCAATACAATTTGATAGATGATTGCTTCATCTCGGAGAGTCCGGCCCGAAATGGAGTTTATACAAAGGACCGATCGGTTATAAGACATATTTCCGCTAACTCCATCGATGGGTATACCGTCAGTGATCGTGATGCCATTCTACTATAAATCAGGTCAAATTGCAGAGGGATGGGAGGGGTTATATATACTCTTGTTTGTTTAGTTTCTCTCTTCCCCTAACCCCCTGCCCACTGAGCTTGAAACCCCGGCATCGCCATTGTTATCGCCACCGCAATCATGCCAGCCCCGTACGACACAGACACCACCGCCGACGAGCTAGTTAACGATTACAGCCATCTCATCAAGGACAAGGTCGTTCTAACGACCGGTGTCTCTTCCGGTTCCCTGGGCGGCTTCTTTGTCCAATCCATCGCCAAAGCCAAACCCGCCTGGCTCATCCTGGCCGCCCGCAACGCCGACAAACTCCAACAAATCGCCAACGACATCACGACCGCATATCCGGATGTCAAGGTCCGCAAGGTCAATGTTGATCTGGGTTCGCTGAAGAGTGTGCGTGATGCGGCTGCCCAGGTGAATTCCTGGGATGATATTCCAGTCATCGACGTGATGGTAAACAATGCCGGTATCATGGCGGTTGATTACCAGCTCTCGCCAGAGGGATTTGAGTCCCACCTGGCAACCAACCATCTAGGTCCATTTCTATTCACAAATCTGATTATCAAGAAGATTTTGGCTTCCAAGAGCCCTCGGATCGTCGTGGTTAGCAGCGACGGTCATCGTATGAGTCCTTTCCGCTTCGATGACTACAACTTTGATGTAAGTGATGCATGTGATTTTGCTTTTGTAAGACACCCGTACTTAGATATCGATCAGGCAGGGAAAACTTACCACAAATGGTTCGCCTATGGCCAGAGCAAAACAGCCAACATATTGTTCGCAATCTCCCTGGCGGAGAAGCTCGGCCTAAAACGCGGCCTTCTCGCATTCAGCCTACATCCGGGCGTCATCTGGACAAATCTGGGTAACCACCTAGACTGGAGTGTGGATCTGGATGGAATTCGTAAGTACTAGCTATGACCATCAAATGCACGGCCGCTAACATTACCATAGGGAGCGCCGATAAGGCGTTGGGCAACCGGGAGGGCTGGAAAGAGTTCGATACTAAGCCGTTGGAGCGGGGTGTTGCGACTCATATCTATGCTGCGTTTGATCCGGCTCTTAAAGGTATGTTAGATACGGATCCATGGGAGACGGAGAGTATACTGACAGGCTGACTCGGTAGCTAACAATGGTGCTTATCTTATTGATTCCCACGTAGCAGATCCACTGTCTGATACAGTCAAGCCGTGGGTGACCAGTAGGTTTGAAGCCGAGAGACTGTGGAGGTTGAGCGAGAAGCTTGTGGGCGAGGAATTTCCATACTAGAGTCGCAGTGTATATGTGAGCTCGTCTCATATGGCACCCCAACACGATGCAGGACATCCATACGCCAGATGAGATTTATATATGGATGAAATGATGAAACGACAATCAATTTAAGTTAAAAAAAAAACATGTTCTATTCAATTCAAGGTAAACAGCGTAGAGAGTATAACCCAACATCAAAACTGCCGTGACGGCACAAGACAAATACACCATGGATCGACTTAGAAGATATATTTCCTTCACCCCTTTGAGTGGAAGTACCTGGGCTCTACCCCCCTCATCTTCGTCATAACATGAAACTTGACCTCGTGCAAATCCACCCAAATAGAATGATCGCTTAGGTCCACGAAATGATTTGACGCCTATAGTGGCAAGACCGTAGAGTCTATTGACTAGCAAGTAAAAGTGATAGATAGTAATACCCTGCGGAACCAACAAGAACAAGCCAACACAAAAACAAAAATTTGGCCGTCCTTCAAAACACCTAAATCACCGGAACTCACTTGTTGGCCGCAATCCCAATCCGCTCTTCTCATAAGCCATGTCAATCATTTTCATCTGATCCCATGAATCCTGACCCTCAACCCAATATTGCGTGGAACGCCCCTTCACACGATTGACAAACTCTTCAAGCTGGTATCGATATGACATCCACCAGTCCTCACCGGGGAGGTTTGCAAACTCACCCCCCGCCTCCTTGTAACTGTAAGCCTTATGCGACTTGGACTCGGTCCAAGTCTTGACCGGCCTGCGATCACCCTTGTCACGAATTACGAAGGTATCCTTGACATCGATACGGTGCCAGACAAAAGCGTGGATGAACCCGTGCAGCGTCACGACCCGGGTGCGTAGCTTCTCCTGTGTCTCCGGGAGGGACCTGTCCTCAACGACGACTTCCTTGTGCGTGACGCGAGCCTCGGACGGTTTCCACAGGATAGGCCCACGCATATTGGTGGAAGCTTCGGCAATACCGCCGTTCGGGAACCGGAATGTGGCTTTGAAGTCGGTATCGCACTGGTCGTGGATACCGTCGCCGAAGATGCCAGGTTCACAGGTCAGACACTCTACGGGGTTGTCGTCGAAGATCATGCGGGTGATGCTGAAGTTGTATGTGCCTAGCATCATCATACTGCCTCCGGCGAGTTTGTAGTTAAATCCGATGTTGTCCTTGTCGAGAATCAACCATGGAATCATGGAGTCTGTGTGGACGTGGACGACATCAGCGGGGGTGATGAAGGACCGGAACTTGCGCACTGCAGGATGGAACCGATTGTGAAAAGCCTCGAGCAATACGGGGGCATTCGGCTGTGACAGTTCAGGTAAATTGAAGAGAATCTCGGCCTCGATAGCGTTAGAGGTCGATGGCTTCTCTAGAAGGACGTGCTTTCCGGCGCGAATAGCGCGCACGGCCCATTCGAAATGCAAACTGTTAGGCAAAGGGATCAAGACTGCATCGATATTGGGGTCTTCGAGAATTTCTGTTTATAGTGAGTTGCAGTTCTCTGGTAAGCCTCTGAGTCTAACGCACCTTCATAGGATGTGCGAACATCGGGGATGTTGTGCTTTTTAGCAAATGCTGAGGCACGAGCATGGTCTCTAGCGGCGATCGCTTGCACAATAACCTCGGGATGTGAGAGGGCAGGTGTGATCAAGGCGAGAGGTCTATTGAATATCAAGGTCAGCGAGGTGGTGCAATGAGCCCCTGGGCATTGAATGCGGCTCACGCAATCTGGGCCGCCCCCAGAATGCCAAAACGGATAGCATCGTCCTTCTTTTCGACCTTCGGAGGGACGAATGCCGTGAATAATCGCATAACTATGGCTGCCATTTTATTTGCTTTTTTGTTTGGTTGGAAGCTTAGAGAGGCAAACAATATGAATTTAATACCAAGGTAGGAAGGGTAGTTGCACCGTCGGGGTTAAAGATTGGACCGGCTGACAGGGTATAGAGCCGCTAGTGTCTCTCAATATTTAGGACCGTCACAACCTCTCGCTCGAAAATTCCGGACCATTGAAGTCATCATCTTCAGCCCTATTGACAGCTGGATAGGTGCGCGGACGCAACGCCGAACGTTCAACACTAAGAAAATGGACATTCCAGCATGACTTTCATTGAATCCCCTCAACCCGGCAAGCTCGGTATTCAACACAATGTGCATATTCCCCCTCTAACCTCTGACATGGCACTGGTGAAGACAGTGCTGTCCATCTTGGACACATATGTACATGTAGATATTAGATTCATCGGGTCCGATAGAAAGTCCGGTGGTGCTTACCCTCTTACGTGGTTGCCAGCCCTAACAACATGACGACTTTACACCGCTTGGGATCATACTTCTACTTCATGCTTCAATGCATCTATTCAATATATCGTTAAGGCCGACAGATGTGTTATTCACTCATTGATTCAAAGAGGCAAATATGACAGCCTCCAATAAAAAAGATACAACACGACGAAGTCTTTTCAATCTCTGGATCCCAGCTAAAGTCGTCTCTGGAAAGCCAGACACTTCTCCAACTGACTCGGGGGCGACAGAAAGCCCAGCATCAGAGCCAATTATCCCGAGGGGAAAAGATCGTCTTAGGGTTCGTTTAACTCGCAGTGGCTCCAAGATTCTACTGTTGCTGGGTTTGCGTGGTTCATCCAGGAGTGAGTGATGGTGTCTTTTATTTCTATAACAGACCATTTACTGACTCTCCTTCGCAGGCAACAA